GTTTCAGTTGGAACGAAGTTACGGAAAAATCAATTAACAAACGGAGACGTAACACCGTAAAGGAATATCGTAAAGTAAAAGTTGTTCATTCTATTGGTTATACATAATTCAATAGCATTGTCAGATAATTATTGACAGTTATCTCAGTAACGCAAGCCAGATGGGGAAACCATTTGAAGAAACTCGGAGAGCTATTTTGGCGACTGACGACAGCAGGTCTGATGTCCTAAAATAACCTTTCATTAATCATGAATTTACATAACTTTTGTCCAGGGAAGGGTATTGCAACTAGTTCTGAAATGTATTGTTAAATTATGAAACATAAATTGGTGGTAATTATAGACATATTTCATATACATTAATTTTTTAAGTAAATTTTTATGTGAAGTAAAACAAGAAAACGTTGAATTTGGGTTATTATTGGAACATTTTACTATTAGATGGTCGGTCCTGGACTAGTGGTTATTTTGCCGGGCTGTGGGTCAAAAGATCCAAGGATCACATTGTGATGCCTTTGAACACATTCTGCACATGTAGCTTTGAACGCGCCACAAAATCAACAATCAATCCCTTTATTCGGTTCAAAGCCGGACAAAGATCTTGTGGCGGCACTTGCTGTTGACCGGTTGCCTTATTTTGTTAATATTCCAAAATCAGGAACGGCTTTACCTAAATACTAAAGACCTCTGACCTGACTGCTTAGCCCAGGGCATAATGGGTGCCGAATAGATTAAAAATATCTGTAATTGCAGTATCAAGCGCAATTAGTTCAAACTCATTATTACCATTAACTTCAGTCACACAGCGGACATATAGTATGAGGCTTTTAACGATAAATATCGAGTTTCTATACCTGCAGTGTGCATAGCACGTTGTATAGCTTTGCGCTTAACAACAAACAATCCTGTTTATAATTTCTTTTAGTTATTTTACTATTATGTTACATTTTTAATTTCATATGTTTAAAAAAATATATAAAATTTTCAGTTTATGTTAAATCCAAATATATATGTTATTTCACTTAATACAATGTTAACGTACATGATTTCAACGCCCAGGTTAGGCGCAAAACAGATAAAATAAATTGTTTATCACATGTTTATGGTTACCTGTAAGAAGGAAGAAAGACTGGTGTAGTTTAGTTTAAACATAAGATGTCTCGCAGTTTGCAAAACTACAGCAAGTTTAGCGCTAATTTAGTTGAAGTTAAAAGCAAAGTAAGTATCAAAGAGTTTTACTTAACGTAAGTTTGTTTTTTAAGTTTATGGAATGCTTTAAAAGTTCAAGTTAGTTAGGCCTAAGTACTTCGACATATGACTACTATCACTAATACAAATAATACTATTATTATTACTAATTGCTATATTTAGTATAACAATTAACAACTAACACTCAGAAGAATTGAAATCCGCACAACACTGGGAGTGGGAGATTAATGTAATAAAATCGCTATAAAACAACGTTAAAATTGAACTCTGAAGCATTTTGTTTCTACTTCAGTTTTGTTTTATTTTTTGCAGTGCTTTTGTTTTATAAATTATACTATATTTATACTTATAGCTAGAAACCTTGTCACTCAATACTACTATTACTATAATAATTCATTAAATTGTAACTTGGGGCCAAGTTAGGTGTAATTAGCTGCTTCATGCTAAAAGCAAACGCCAGTTACTGTCGGTGAAAACGTATTTCAAATTCAATTTTCATTGTTTGAAGCGTCTTTATTTACGTTCAAGGTGTTGATTGTACTTCAGTCCTATTTATTCCAGTTTGTAAAAAACTAACGAAAAACTTTCCACAATATTATAAACTTACAACACTACAAGATAATATTCAATTATGAGGTTTTTTTGTTCAGTGTTTCAATTATTTTTAATTCACAATTTTATAAAAGAAATAGTAAATACATTTATGCATTTCTATGAAATAAGTTGAATAACATTTGGTTTAATGCTTTTGGGTTTTATGTCTCAATAAAGTTATATAACTCTGAGCCCTAAGAAAGTTCTTATATATTTGACAAATGTCTCAAAACCAAAGTTACTTGTTGCTCAAAACAAATGTGAAATGTGTTGATTTCATACTTTGTGAGAATTTGAACAAAGGCAAATCTTTGTGTTACTAATCATAAAGAAAATATCATTAATGCAATAATGTATAGGATACCATGTGTGATTATCTTAATTGCTATAAAATACATGAATCATAGTTCTTTAATTATTACGTATGAAATGGACATATCGAGTTTGTCATAATATGCGAATATATGTAGTAAGGTGAACTACATTAGTAACTAAACTATATTAATCTTTAAGTATTTTGTAGAAATAGTAATAGGCTAGAGTTAGACATTGATTATAACTATAAGTCAAAAGAGGTAATTATCTGAACACTGATCAGTAGTTAGGTTTCACTTGAAATAGTATATATAGTTTTGATCTCCATATGAAAGAAAGCCTAATGGCTTATAATAAAAGGTTCAAAGCAGGGTTAATACATGTGCTATATTCTGAAGATGTTAGGACAAGAGGGCATGTACATTGAAGATTTTGAACAAGAAAGGCTAGGCTGCAGTTAAGACAGTTTTATTTTTCTAACATGATGATTGACTTTCGATTGAGTTGCCATTAGCAGTAGTGTTTCAGAGATTGATGATTTCCTTAAAAATAATAAATGTTTTTAAATTTTCATTCATCTCAAGAGTTGGTATGCAAGGGTAGCTTTGAAGGATAAATAAAATTGTGTTAGGTGTTACTTTCTTACCTTAGGTGATAAATGTTTTCTTATGTTCAGCAATTCAGAAGTACTTCATGCATGGTATTATTATGAAATCAAAATTATATCATTATTGCTGTAGAGGTAATCATACTGGTAACAGTTGATTTTGCTACACAGTTTGATTATTTGCCAAATTTTGAGATTTTTAATGAGATTGGTTTAATGGAATTTAGTATGCATTCTTTGACTTAGAATTTTTTGGAAGAAGGATATGTATTGTTCTTCATAGAATGGGAGTTTCAAAAGTATGATTTGTGGCATTTGCTTTTCTGTTTATTGACAAGCTCATTAACTGTTTACATTCAGCTAGTTAGTTATTTTCATTAGACTTGAATTGGTGAAATAATCAAAAGTTTCAATTATCAGAAACATTGATTTTGATGAGTTTATTATTTTTGTGAGTTGTGACATTAGTAGATTAAGCTGAAGAACCTTGAATTAATCAAAAATAACAATGAGAAATCATAATGGCAATGTTTGCATTATCTTGATAATTGGAATAATCAAAAAGAGTAATAATTGGAAACACTAATTTCAAATGTTTATAGGTAATTGATTTAATTGCCCAGTTTTAAATGTTACTTAACATTGTAAAGAGAGTGTAGCATAAACAAAGGTAGTTTACCTATGAAAATTTATAAGTAGGGTATTGCAAATTTTTCATAATTATACATATTGACACTAATAATGTATTAAAAAGTTTTGTATTTAACAATGTTTTGATGACTGTAGTTCACCATCATCAAGTTAGTTGATGACAACTATTACTCAATGTATGGTTCAACTTATGAAGAAAACATTATTCCACATAAAAGTGACATGGGCATAAATTATAATAACATTTCTAACAATAAAATGGTTAAAATGAGTTAGTAGATAGTACTGGCAATTTAATACTTAAATGCTAGAAAACTAAAAATAGAGACAAGGTAAAAAAACTTTTGTCAAAACTTTGTCATTAGTGAAACATAACAAAAACAGAGTACAAACATAAGTTATTAAATAAGAAGTTTTTAAACAATTTTATGAGAAGAAAGAATTCAGAACTATAAACTGGTAAATTTTTAACCTGATACACAATTCTAACATAGATTCTAATATATAAATTGATGTTTAATGACTGGAAGCCAACATGCTGGCAGATACAAGAAATGTTATGTTATTCAATGCTGATTTTGACATAACAGTCATAAAACATTAGCTCTAAACAAGCTATTTTAGCAACAAACAAACAATTATACAACTTAAAAAACAAGACACTTCATAAAACATCAATTCTCAAATATAAGAACAATTCATGTAACCACTGTTTTTCTAACTTTTAAAATACATTCTTGAAAAATGTTTTTAGATTTAGTTATTTAATTCCTTCAAAATAAATATTTTTCTAGCAGAAATTTTGAGATCATATTTACTAAAATTTACTCTATCATGAAGTTGTCACTCCATGGCATGAAACCATCTCCAAATAACCAGGTTTTGTAGGTGAATATTTCTTATTGTTTATGTAATTGTATGAATCTTATACTCTAGACTTCATTAAATTGCCTAGAAATTAATTTTTTTTGGCAAAACTGAAGATTTAAGATATAGAATGAATTAACAAAAGTTTAATTTTAAAACGCAAATCAGAGTCTATTAAGATGCTCGGAACATTTTTTACAATTGTATCTTAAGTACCCACGGTATAAGAACCTTTCTGTCATGATATAAAAGACTGTTAATTTATTTTTGTGAGTGAATATCTTATTATTGTTAAGTTTTTGTTATAATATGAGTTAAAAGCAGACAATTTTAGGAAGTTGTGTTTATAAGTCATTGATGTTGAGACTATTGAATGTTGCGTGTAATACATGACGTCAAGAATATAGAGATTTCTAGAAGGAGGACAGACGATTAAGTGATAAATATATAAATAGTGTGAGACGAGCAGAAACAGCAGACGGACGATAAAAGAAAAGAGTAAAGTTACGGGTAAAGAAAAGTTTGGCATGAAGTTAGCATTTAATATATTAGAGTATGACTAACAGTAGGAATGGATACAAGAAGAATTGTTCCTTCAAAGCGTGGTTCTTGAGTAATTGAATCAGCCTGAGTACACTTTAACAAAAGGAACAGAGGATATTTTGAAGAAAGAAAACCAAATGATTACAGTAACACGTGTCACAATTGTAAATGAATCACACACAGAATACTAGTGCAATAGTGATAGAGAAGATAGTTTGGCTTGTCAACTGAAATTCTAAAGTGATTGAATTGGCCTAAGTGGACTTTTGACAAGAAGAGGAGAACTATATATAAATAGTGTTTGTCGTATGCCTATAATCTCTATAGTGTGAGAATTTGTTGAACATACATTTAACTTGTTCTGAATATATGTATTATTTTTAAAACAAGTGAAGTGCGTACTGTTTATTTATCATTGAATTTATCGTTAAGAAGTCACAGATACCTACTGTAGAAGAATCCCAATCCCAACAACAACATAGTGTGTATGTGTATATATATATATATATATATATATATATATATATA